ACAGACAGGGACCATGAAAGATTGCACAAGGACACCACACTCTTTCACTTGTTAAGAATTCGCCCTAAATCTCGAAATAACTATGACATGCGAGTTTAAGAGTACGGCTACCCGCAAGCGGGTTTAATACGGCACATTTCCCCAACAAGCTGCCCGTCGCTTCTCGGTGCCCGGAATCGAATTACACCAGAATCAATTCATAGCTAAATCGACATCAAACGTGCCGAAAAAACACAAAAACGGGCAAGATGATCTTCTTCAATTGGCTCAAGCGGATTAGACGTTAGACGAGCGTTTCGGTTGAGAACTAAAAACTGCGTCCATCGTTTCGGCTCTGCTAGGCAAGTGGGTGAAGGGGTGCCATTTCCTGGAAAGCTGATTGCTATCACCGGAGGCTAAATCGCGAAAAAGTCCGTTTCGCGTGGTAATCGGTAGACAATACGTACGGTTAATGCGGAGTTATCGAGAACCGTTAAGCCTTTGTGAGCCTCGTTTACCCGCCGCTGAATTGCCGTAAGATGAAGGAAAAACCCGAGGTGGAACCACGATGAAAATCTTGCTGGCGAACGACGATGGCATCTACGCACCTGGTCTGGCGGCCATGGAGAAGGCCCTCCGCACTATTGGCGACGTGACGGTAATTGCCCCTGCGACCGAGCAAAGCGGAGTAGGGCACTCGATTACCTTCCTGAGCCCTTTAGTTTGTAAAGAGGTTTACGATGGTGATCGCCTTCGCGGATACGCCGTAGAAGGAAGCCCCGCCGACTGCGTGAAACTGGGCGTCGTGGAACTGCTGGAAGAGCGGCCTGACTTGATTGTCAGCGGGATCAATGGCGGGCTAAATGCCGGGATTAACGTTCTTTATTCCGGGACCGTGGGAGCGGCAATCGAAGGAGCCTTCTTTGGCATCACCAGCATTGCCGTTTCGCTGGAATGGGATGAACATGCCCAGTTCGATCGCGCTGCAGAGATGGCCCGGCAAATAAGTGTCCAGATACTGGAGAACAAATCTTCTTCGTCCAGGCTGTATAACCTGAACATTCCCACCCCCGCTACGAAGCTACCTCCCGGCGAAGCGGAACTGAAAGTCGTGCCGATGGGTGTGGTTCGCTATGGTGAGCACTTCATCAAGCGCAAAGATCCCCGAAACCGTGACTATTACTGGGCT